CTCCACCCACAGGACATACAGTATCGTACATACATGAACATGTAAATAATCAATTACAACAGACATAAACCACAGTCTAGTTAATCCAAATATTTCTAAAGTTTACAGAATTCTCAATTCATTACATTTATGTCAGAGGATGAACACAATCCTTTCTTGTCCCAACAGCAGCAACACTCAGCTACTCCGTTGCAAATATTCAGCTACTGTGCACCGCTCCTAGAATCTCCTAGGAGGGGTTTAATACATTTAAAACATAAAACGTGAGCGAAAGGCCCAATAGGATATAATTTAAAATGACTTAAAAGTAAATGAATATATAAATATGCGGGTAAATAAATAAATAAATAAATGAATAAATAGACATTCAGTTCCAACAAACAGCTGGAACCTCACATCCTTTTTCTCAAAGGAAATAAATGTAAAATCTCCATATTACAGGCTTCAGCAAGTAATTAGTACATATTACTTACCTAACCAAGTGCCTCGCTTACCCGGACCGAGTTTCGGGGTTTGCCCCCGAGGATGCACTATCTGCATCCTATCTAGGCTTACAGTAATAGACTCTCTTACCAGTTCACAAGATCTCTTAGTTTAAGAAATCATTCATTAACTTTCTGAAATCGTTATTATGACCCCACGAACTACTCAAGCCGCGGGCCCCATGACTGGACAAGCCATGAGGTTCCATATCTGGACAACCTATGGATTCCATGGACAGGACAAGCCATGGATTCCATAAACTAAACGAGTCATGGTTTCCAAAGAGTTTTTCTTTCGCAACCCAACCCCTTTCTTTAAAACATTTTCAAGGCCAAAATCCTTTTTGAAAACAAGCTCACAAGGAAAATGGATAGAAATCCTACCTCGCACTATCAAACCTAAGACTAGCGTTGCCTTTTCCGGCTTCCGCTTCCTCAAGCCCCTTCAGTCTGAATCCTCAGCGATCACTGATGCAAGACAACACTTTAGGATTAATTCTCATTCTTAAAGCAATCCAATCTCAATTACCAACCAAGATTTCCTATTAGTGTGCCCTAATCCATTTTCATGTTTTAAATTATCATTCCAAGGGTTTTCAATCTCAAAACAAGGATTAAATATGCTAATCCATTCATCTCAAGTCCCCAAATGAAGCTAATTTGTGTTCTCCCTGAAAACAAGGGTCAAAACAACAATTTCAGGCCAAACAGGGTCAGATCCCGTGTCAACGGGTCAACCGGTGACAGAACAGTGCATCACCATCGGTCGACCGGTGGTGTGCAATCCGGTCGACTGCACCGGTCGACCGGTTAGGCCAATGCAATCCGGTCCACTGCACCGGTCGACCGGTTACCATGTGATCCGGTCGACCAGACAGGTCGACCGGTGGCACCAGCTGCGCGAGAGAAGCTTACAGAAACCAGTCTGAAAACCTGCAATCTCAGTCCCAAATCGAAATATTTTAAAGGAAAACCACTATATCCGGGTTCTAGGTCCTAAAGCAAGTCCAAAGAACCCAAGATAAGGTTTTACTCAAAATTCGTAAAGATTCATTTCGAACCAAAAATAAGTTTTAAAATTCGAAAACTTGAGATTCAAGAGAGGTTCTTTCAGTAATCTTACCTCGAATCCTTCTCTTGACGATGAAAACTTCTTTAAATCTTTCATTTGTTCGAATCCGGTTTGATTGGGACAAAAATGGAAAGAGAGAGAGAGAGAGCACAAGAATGAGAGTGAGAGCACGGGAAAGGAAAGAGAAAAGGAAGAAAAAGAGAAAAGGAAAAAGAAAAGAAGGACATGTGTACAATATTTTAAAACAACAGTCCAGAAATGTGCCCATACACACTTCTAGGTTAAAATAAATTACTGAGAATAATTTAAATACCTTGAAACTATTTAAATTACACGTAATCAAAACTCAATTAATTAAATCAGATTAGGCACACTAATAATCTCAATTACTTTAATTAATCTCATTTAATTCTTCAGGGTGTTATAGAAATGAATACTTTTCAAAATTTAGGAGCCATGTAAAATTAGGGTACATAGTTTAGGGGGCTTTATAAACTTAATCCTTCTTTTTCAACTAATAATTATTGATGTGTTTAATCAATCTTAAATGTATATTATAAAATTTTACCACTTAAATCAATGAAGGAAAGCCTGCCTTTTTTTATTTTTGTAAAACTCTGGGTTGTTCGGGGAGCTAATTTTTGAGTGAAAAACTCAAAAAAAAAAAAAAAAAAAAAAAAAAAAAAAAAAAACTCGAGTTACAACTTTATTTGAGTTCATGTTCTTTTAAGTTTGAACTCGAGTTTGAACTCGAGTTTGGAACTAAAACTCGAGTTCAAGTTTCTCCTTCAACTCGAGTTCAGAAACTCGAACTCAAGTTAATGAACAGTATTTTTTCTATTCTTAAAAATGCTATAACTTTTTCGTTTTAATTTTGATTGAGATGATTTTTTTTTCTATGCGTTGACAATGAAATGACGAATAAAACTATACCCATATACCCTATTAAAATTTTTCATCAGCATTGAGTTTTTATTAAAATACTATCTAAAAATAAATTCAAGTTTTGACTTACTCAAATACAAACTCAAAAAAGATTCTTATCTCAAACCATAACTCAAATGTACACAACCAAACACAAACTCAAATTACAACTTGAACTCAAGTTATAACTCGAACTCAACTCAAAATTTATACTCAAGTTACCTAACTCAAAAACATCAAAAGAACAAGAATTTCCAACATTTACCCGGGTACTTAAAGACATCTTTAACACATAGGAACTTTGAGTCGATGCTCATATCATATAAATATAACTGAAATGTTTAATTACTCAACCAACTCCCTTACAATTCTTTGTATTACTGTGCTTATATGCATAGTGTTCAATCCTATCATATAGCCTTCTTCTCCTTTACGTTGAGAAAATTGTCCGACTTGAAAGGCCTCGAAAACTGGCTATAATTTTGACCATCTTAAGATGACTCTCTCTTACAGTTCTAGAATCACATTCCTCATATTTTCTTTTCCTTCCTAACCATGATCATCAACTTTGATCTTCTTAAAGCAATCGAGGCGCGCTCACCGCCAGATTTGCAACGGAGAAGAGGCATCTAGGGCTTCAGCAGTTCTACACCAAAGGTGGTCACTAGCTAGAATATTCTTAAAGCGAGAGTACCATGGTACCATTCATTGAGTGCGTACATGGTTGTCTTGTTGGTTGATTCTATCTTCAACTATTTGCAAAACAGTGCAAAAACAATCTTATACTTTGGAGTTTGGACATGGTTAATTATGTTTTTCCTTGATGAAGCCAAAACAGAACAACTCTTACTTGTGGCTACTCTTCATCTACTATAATATAATCAACTTTGTCTTTCTCCTTTTCTTTTTAGTTCTAAGGACCCCTGATCCACATTCCTAAAAAGGGTAATTTGAATCGAGCGCATCCCAGACTTTTAACCATTTTTAAAATTCTCTAACTTGCAAACTTTAGCATTCAAGACTAAGTTTTTCAATCCTTCATAAATAGTACAGTGGCCATGGACGTAAGTTAATAAATGGATATTGTGATCCTAAACGCTAAAACTAAGAAGTTTATGGTTCAACTTGCCAATCAACGAAAAGTTTACGGTGTCTTTTTGGGGAAAAAAAAATTGTGGGACACTTCATCTATCAGCTTATTGCATTCACTAATTACTATTGGAACACAATAACAACAAAATTTCAAAGTCAGAGTCTTATTTCTTAAATTTAAAAAGAGTTAAACTCATCCGCTGAATTTTTTCCTCTTTGTATATATAATAAGTCCCTGTACTGAAAATTGTTCTATCTTAAACTCTAAACTCTTTTAAGTGTCGCAAATTTAGTTCCTCGATTACATTCAGTTAGATTTTAGATGAAAAAAGTTGGTAATCTTGTAAATTCTCCTCAATGAATGGGTACTCTAGTAATTTTAGCATAAATGAACCAAAATATATAAATTTGAGCCAGAGTTTCTAGTATTCTTAATTTCATCTTTTTCTTTTTGTTTTCGATTCACATCTTATTTAATTTTATATTATCTTGTTTTTTGGTTGGAAGTATTGTTATTTTTAGGGCACTTTTACCAAACCGTAAAACAATGTAATAGAAAACGTAATAGGATTAGAAAGGAAAATAAAGTAATAGGATTAAGGATCATTTATTCCCTTTTAAGTGTTTATTGGACTATTAGAGGGTGTAATGGGAAACAATCTCATTCACTTTCTTATGTTTACTAAAATTAAAAATAACAATGTTATGAATGTAATCACTAAAGTGTCCTTTTACACAATTTGATAATCATTGACTATATAGTAATTCCTTAAGGATAGATAAGTAAATTTAGCATTAATTCTCTTTAATAGGGAATCAATACTAAAGGGAGTGCAAGGATTGACATTCCCTTTTCTCATTCTCTATATTGTGTGGGGTCTATTAAATCTCTATTATTAATTTTATAAGTAAATACATTATTAATAGGAAATAGAATCACTTATCACTTTCCCTATCCCTTTTTTGCTGAATCACTTTTCCTTTCCTCTATCCTTTACTTATCTGTGTGATTAATAATATACATGTCAAACATATATTATGAATCTATTAATCCAGGTACAAAATATCAAACTCTAATGCGTAAAATCTTTTCAAAAAAGAAAAAAGATCTCATCAACTGTCTACTTGATCGAAAATCCAAAGAAGCAAAAAACGGCAGATAAAAAATTAGTCAAATTATATTTTTGTTTTTTCTTATTTTACTTAACACGAGTTAGAATCTAATAATCTTATAATTTAGTTTGTTTTTTCTACTTCTATTACGATTATAAGTTATTGTTGCAACTAGATTATAATTAGGATTCCTAGAATAGATTAACTATGGCTTTCTGTTTTAGGTCGCATCATACTTGTGCCATGCATTCGAAAGAAGCGAAAACAAACTTTTGCCTGAGGGTTTTGGTGTGACCGCGGTTTGTTAAGTTGAAGTGATGGAGTGGGTCCGGGGAGAAATTATAGGCCATGGAAGCTTTGCCACTATAAGCAAAGCCACCACAACATGCAGAAACTCTCGTTCTGATCTTCCTACGTTGTTAGCCGTGAAATCCTCCGATGCTTGCCTTTCATCTTCGCTCAAGAACGAGAAACACGTTCTCGAAAGCATGGGAAGCTGCCAGCAGATCATCCGCTGTTTCGGAGACAATTCCAGCGTCGAAAACGGCCAGGAGTTCTACAATCTTCTGCTGGAGTTCGCCTCCGGAGGCTGTTTGTCCGACCAAATCAAGAACCATGGCGGTCGGTTGCCGGAAACCGATGTTCGACGATATACGAAGGCTATTGTCGGAGGGCTTTGTGCCGTTCACTCAAAAGGGTTTGTTCACTGTGACATAAAGCCGCAGAATATTCTTGTGTTTGAAGATGGAGCCGCCAAGATAGCCGACTTTGGGCTGGCGAAAGAGAAGGGTTTGGTCATGAAGAAAACGGAGCTGAGAGGGACTCCTCTGTACATGTCGCCGGAGTCGGTGAAAGCGAATGAGTACGAAGCGCCTTGCGATATTTGGGCCCTCGGATGCGTCGTTGTCGAGATGATAACCGGAAAGCCGGTGTGGTCTCACCTGACGGAGCTGAACCTTTTCACGCTGTTGAAGAAGATTGCCAGAGGAGAAGAAACACCACGGATTCCGGAGGAGTTGTCAGAGGAAGGGAAAGATTTTCTCCGCCAATGTTTCATCAAGGATCCTACCAAGAGATGGACGGCTGAGATGCTTCTCAAGCATGCTTTTGTTGGTGATCAAGATGAGGCCTTGTTGTCAACCTCGTCGTCCAAGCTATACAAGCCGAGTACTCCGCCTTCTCCGAGATGCCCTTTTGGATTTCCGGTATCGGATTCGAATAGTTGAGAGACTCATTGTAATAGTTGTGTTTCTACAATGAGAGAGTGATTGTCATAAGGTTATTTTGAGATATAGTTAAACTCTTAATTGTAAACCCTAAGTACTTGTGCTTATGATAATTAATACAATTTTGGGGTTGAGAAGGGCAGATGATAGGATAGTTTGAGTAGGTGTCAACATAGTTGAGATGTGCTCCGACGGTCGTGATGCCTGTTATTCTCACCTCTTTTATGTACAATATTATTTTATGGATGTGATTTTTTTCATCAAAGCTATTTACCTAATCATTCACTCAACGAAGGAAACAGTGATCAATTAAAATGATTTTTACGTAATGGAAAATGCTCATCCTTTTAATTAATCGTGGCATGTTTATATCTAGGAACATGACATCCTTTTAATACATAGTAGCGATTAATATGTTATAGTATATAAAATTGTTGCTTTTGCTAGTAATTATGTGGGCTCCAATATTTCAACTTGTGTGCTAACTTCGCACAAGTAAAAAGGAGAATCAGAAATTCATAATTATCTTTCTTTATTTTCTCTGAAAAGAGAAGTAGAGAAGTTCAAACTAAACTATATGAAAAGAAGGGAAAACAAATTGGAAAATCATTATAAAGATACATATGAATATCAGTTCATGAATAAGATATAAGAAAGAAGTATGCTCATATATCATATATATTACTGAAATGTAAAACCGATATAAGAAAGAAGTATGCTCATATATCACATATATTACTGAAATGTATAACCAACTCTCTTACAATTCTCTGTTTTATTGTGCGCATATGCATGAATTAAGAAAGAAGTATGCTCATATATCATATATATTACTGAAATGTATAACCAACTCTCTTACAATTCTCTGTTTTATTGTGCTCATATGCATGAAGCTCAATTCTATCAGAGCTTTCTTCTCCTCTTCGTTGAGAAAATTGTATGACTTGAATTGGTTCAATGCCCTCAAAATCCAGGTCTCTCGTAGAGTTCGAGCCACATTCCTTTTCTGTTTTATTGTGCTCATAATGATGATCAACAACCAGTCTTGGACATGAATTTTTGCCAGCATGAATCATCAATGAGAATATATGCATATTTCAGTTGCTCGCAGAGATTTTCACTGGCTTCGCCTACGAAGATTTGAGCTTTTGAACCTGGGGCTCACCGCAGATTTGCAACGGAGAAGAGCCATCTAGCGTCTCTCCTTCGACAATGCTACACCGAAGGTCCACTAGGTACTCCTAAAGCGAGAGTGAAATGGCACTCTTCATTGTGTGTGTACATGATTGTCTTGATATATGATAAAAAGAAAAATTGGTGCGTACATATTACTTTGGAACAAAAGAGAGGAATGATGACGAAGAAAAAATGCCCTACTGAAAGAGTATGTAACCAGGAAAAATAGAAACGAAACGACATTAAAAAATAGTGCAAAATACTTTTGAAGCCAAAAAAAAAAAATAGTGATTGATGAGTGAATATGTATAGCAATCCATACGTCTGCAACCTTAAAAATAGGAAAGATGAGAGAACGCCAATGCCCGTTTGGCCTGGGGAAAATTATTGAACTGAAGGAATGAAAACGTAGAATAAGACTTAATAATACGTTACAAGAGGAAAAATCTACAATAGAGCGCATTCCTTGGGCCTTCTGCAGTTGTTTATAAATCAGTCTGCTGATAAAGATGTTGATTGTAGCAGTCAAATGCTTAAGAATTGGAGCTGCTCACACAGAACTAGAACAAGAGATTTTGTTCGAATCGTTCTCTGTAAACTGCATACACAATTTCCTTGGTGGGGATCACTCGAAATGCATTTGGGAGACAACATTTGGATTTTGAGTTCTTGGGTAGGGGAGATTTGGCACGGAACTTGAAGGAAAGAGGACAAACACTGGACTGGAATAAGAGACTATCGATCGCATTGCAAATCTGCTCTGCAATCCAGATGCTACATATATATGTACTTGAAAACACGTCTTTATCACAGAAATGCGAAATCTGAGAACGTTCACCTTTTCTATTGCAAAATTAGCAGGCTTTAGGGTTGAAAACTAATGCTGCAGCAGCCGCAACAGGGGATATCCTAATGAACCATCGAAATCGACACTTGGGTGACTAAGCACTTGTTTTGCTCTTTTTTTCTGGTAAGAGTTTGATGTATGAGAAATAGATATGCACCAACTGATAATCCAAAAACTTACAACATTGTAGTGTATTATGTGTTCTAAGACGTTTAAGACGCTCACCTCTTTGGAACATGCCTTGATTCCCTGCGCTTGCTTATATAATGACAAGAATACTATTTGCACATAAATAATGGCTTTAGAAATACCATTTTCAAACAAATTATGTATACATCAGAAAAAAAAACCCCCCAACTCAATTTTACACCTATCAAAAGTTCACATGCTACTCATTCTTCTCAGTTCCAGTACTTTCAGAATCTGTCTAAATAAACATGAAGAAACGCATTTACCCCCTTTTTTTTTTTTGGGGATAAATATTTCAATTCAGGAGACGTATGACAGGCTCTTTTTGTAATTTTCTGCTCAGTCCATGCAAATGGGAATTAAGTACGCTGACTAATTGGTTTGGTTTGAAAGGGCATGCCGAATATTTTCACAGTAACACGTTGGAGTATACAGTCATTCTTCACTTGTTTCTTTCTCATCTTTCTTTTTGGTTTTAAGTTCTATTAAAACAAACACCACAAGTTGAGCTGTTCTGGAGATTTCAACCTTCGGGCAAAATATGAGATTACATTAAACTAATCATGCAGCAAAACAAAAAGAGATTTTCCCTAAGATCATGAATAGGTCTTTTTAAAAATAAAAATGAAACGTCTGGTATCAAGCTCTTCAAGGTCCAGCACCCAAAAAAAAAAAAAAAAGGGGGCTCAAGCTTCAAGGAAATTACTGTATAAGTCCAAAACTATAAAATTAGAAGGCAATAAAATTGATAGATATGAAACTACTCCATGACCCAACAAAACAACATACCACACTTAAGCAACAACTGGTCAACCAGACTCATCATCTTTATACGCAATGTGACATTGAAGAAGGAAACCAGAAATTTGTTAATTAAACAGAATGTAATTTATTTTAGTACACCAAAAAGAGAGGAGTGAAAAGAGCTTAATAGGACTTCCCACAATGTATTAAGCTTCCAGCACCCAGGAAGAGACCGAAAATAGCTGCGCTACCAAGTGTTGTTTGTCCAATATATCTAATCTTCAGCAGTCCCGGGACCTGCATATCGCAACAAATATATAAAATGCATAAATATTCCGCCTTTCCTCTTAAAATTCAAATCTCAAGCTAAAGGTACGTAAAACTGGTCAGCAAAGAGAAGAAGTGACCCCTATTCGTGTTCAAAGATGACAACACAAACAGTAAACAGCAATAGTGCGATTAGCAGATAAATACAAGAAACATAAATCCAGGAGGAAAAGAATTAATTCACCACACGAGCCTAGTTCATATTCTCAATGCTAAATGTAATGTCAACTGCTCTAGAACAACAGAACTGGCTTATTTTATTATTATTTTTTTAATCTTTTCATTTTCTGTATTAGGTTTAAACCAACTCAACCCCAGGACCTCCTCCTTTCACCAATTCCTTCTTCAACCCCTAGAGTCGCACCATTTAATGATTATTGAATTTTAACAATACGGACTATAGATTCAAAGATCTCGCCCAAAACTATCCTACAACTTGAAGTCAAGTGTTGTTTTAATCAAATGACAAGCTCATTCATTCATGTCCCAACCGTATCACAACCCATATAACCTCCTTGCATCTTTATTGCATTGGGTTGGAATTTCTTTTCAAATTTTTTGGCAATTTACAAAGTCAAGGACTACTCTAACTACTCAATGCCCCCTGATAACGCATTATTGTTGTTAGAATTTTTCCTGCCCATTTCTATATTAAGGCTCTAAAACATAAAGTCAAAATCCAAAATGGTACAGATTTTCTTCGCTACTTGATCAGTCTACAAAGAGAACTGGATACAAATGAATTGCAAGGTAGCTAATAGATCCACTGTAGAAAGACACTAACAGAAAAAAGCTTAACTGAAGAGACCATATGAAAAATTTAGAGCATCACGTAACATTTTGTGCAAAAGGCAATAAAGGATAACAATGAAGAAAAAGAGTCAATTTAGACGTCAATTCAACGTCATGAGTTGAAGTTCAGGAGATAGATTAGATTGTATACCTTGTACCTAATAGCCTCATATGTCCCATAGACAGCACCTGGATATAAAGTTATTATCAGACAAAAACTCAATAACGAAAAATAAAGGATTAGATATCCAACTAGGCTAACTCCAAGAAATGAAAGAATAAGTAGCAAGAATGCACATAGAAACCCAGCATAGAGGTAAGACTCCGGATAGGATAAAAGTAATGAAAAGTTTACATTTTTACCTATCAACTAGCAAACAAGAGAATCGGTTATAAAATACAAAGGATTGGACGGCCTCGAAACACAATATAGCTACCATGTTCTGCTCAAACTAAAGAAGGAAGAACATGATTCTACTTCCTGCCCATCTTACGTTGTAACTCCAACTCTTAATATATATACATAACCTGTGTTCTCATAAACTTAATTCCTAACTCAAACCGTCAACGCGGTGCCGAGCAACCAAAAGGAAAATCTCCCAGGAATGCTGCCAACATGAATATAATTCACAGTACAAAAATCCACTCTTGAAAATATTATGATAGTAACAACAATCCAAAGAAAACATTCTACTCAAAAAAAAAAAATCCAAAGAAAACATTATTTAAAAATAAATAAACCTCCAATGTTTCTTCTGTAAAATGTTTACTACCAAACTCTAATTCAGCAATTAGAATATAGAATGAAACAATCGCCTAGTCAACTCATGGTTATTAAGAAAATAAATACTACTTTCATGTATCACCTAAAAGCTTCACGAATTCATCAAACAATTTTTTCTCTTTAAAAGCAAATAATAAGAGGAAAAAAAAACCCCCATGAGACTCAAATTTAAATATGGTACTAATAAATCCACGAATTCATTTCAGATTACCAGATAACAGACTCGGGAAGAAATTAGCCAAGAAAAACCTAAACCCACAAACAAACACAGCAAAAAGTTTAATAACTTCATGGAAATGAATGAAAAGGATATTGAGGGAAAAGAATTACCGACAGCGCCCCCAACAGCACCACCGACGGCGACACCGGCAGCCACACGAGTCATACAGCTGTCCCCCCCCATTGGTAT